AGCAGCTCAGTACAGAGCAGAAAGTTCCTTAGATCCCCCTGGAGGCATCTGCTTCTCCTCTAGCCCAAGGGCTAACTGGCGTCTGGCGGAGGAGGCTGCTCAGTCAAAAACACACCTGAGAACAGGTGTTTAGGTTAAGAGACACAGACTCAGTGTCAGCAGCCCTGGCTGTCCTGTGTCCTAAATTTGCAGGTTTTGAGCTTGCAGTGAGCTCAGAAAGTTTCTGCTTGCTTTCCAGCCTCCAGCGTCCCGGCCGGGTTTCATTCATTCACTCATTCATTGCAAAACTTTTAAGGGCTCCGAAGCTGTGCGCCTCGTTTCCCCGCAAAGCGCAAGGAGGCTGCCACTTGGTTCCTTCAAGCATTTACAGAAAAGGGAGCCAGTGCTTAAAACTAACCACGTTCTAAGCTCTTGCACACTACAAAGAACACTTTAGAAAATGTCCTGAAACTGCTTACATTCCCCGGAGCTAGCTTACTGTGCTCCAAGTCACAGTGCTATTAGGAATTTGTTTCCTGTTTCTTTCTTTTTTTTTCTTTTTTTAATGAACAAAGTTTGTTAACTATCTTAAAGGAGATTTATACGAATAATTCCTCCCACTGTCCTCGAGTTTATCATTTCGGACTCAGCTTCCAAAATTTTGTAATTATTTCTCTTATATGCTAGTAGATTTTGTTTATTTTCTGTCTGTTTCAACGCTAGAGTTTGACTTCTTTACGATCCTTTATCTCAGAGACTCGGTGAGCTCTGTAATGGCTAAAACTTGTCCGAGGGACCCCGGCTCGCTACTTAAAAATTCTCTGTTAATGGCTACAGAATCAACCAACCAGCACCTCCTTCAAAATAACAAGCCTGGGTGTACTAAATTGAATCTTCTTCAACCAAATTTTACACACACACACACACACACACACACACACACACACACACACACTTATCGCAGAAATTATACTTTTAAAGAACTTAATTCTTGACAACTCTGCCACACAAAATCCTATTCCTTTAAAAACAATTTAAGATTTCCTGAATGTCCAGTCAAATGCTTCTGGGTTTTCCTAAGTGGAAATTGGAAAATGAACATTCTGTAACTTTACAAAGGAAGATTTGCATTTCATAGAAAATTACAATTTTGTATGTATGTCTTGTTCTAAGAAATCAAGCCAAGGAAATCAAGAAATACAATTACAGGGACTTTGAAGATAATCCTAAAATGATCTTACTTTTTCTTTGTTAAAGTGAAGACATATTCACAAGCTGACATTTTTACCTCCAATGTTTGCTGAATGTGGGGGTTGGGGAAATGCCTCTGTGGCCAACTGTTTCAGCCTAGGAAAGCAAATCCTGACCAAGCAAGAGAATCCAGATTAGATCTTTGTGTTTTCCAGTCGCATATTGGGAAACTGCAGGAGCTTCTTGACTCTACAGGTCTGGTTAAAGTGTCTGGATGGCCTCCTGTGGGTGGGGCAATCAGAACCTAGATGTTTAACCCGAACTCCGTACAGAAACTATTTATTTATTTATTTATTTTGGTTATGATTTTCAAGGAAAAAGGAGGAATGTGGACACTTTGCCTTTTAAGATGACATTATGGGGATTTTTTTGAGACGTACTTGGAGAAAGTCAACCCGACTACTGCACCAGCACATACGGATAGCACCCAAAGGCTCAGCTCAGAAGACAGACTTCAAACACAGCACCTGTTTTCCAACTCCAGGGCTTCTCTTCCCCTCACCCCACAGTCCAGTTTCCCTAACCCTGTCCCACATGCTTCTCCACCCTCCCTGTCCTCCCTTCCCTCCCTCCTGACCTCAACAGCAACAAAAGTAATCCTACTTTGTCCAAGGTCCAGGAATTTGTCAGGCTGTTTTTTTACCCAGGAATGATCTCTCAGCCCACATTTGAGGTCCCATGTTTTTCCACACTCTCTTCCTCCAACCCATTGCGTTTTCTTAAGTCCCCAGGTCCTTTTAAACTTCTGGTTGTTGATATATTTTATAACTAAATTTTATTGAAATGTTTACCATAGGCGCCAATAGCTTTGCATGTAATATCTCCTTCATTTTGCCAACGTTTTTCTAGTTTATTCATTATAGTCTTCATTGTTTAGTTAGGCAAATCGAGGCAGAGAGTTAAGAAGTGACTTGCTTAAAGCCCCACAGGTAGTAAATAATTAGATGATCCTGGCTTCCAACCCAGGCACTCTGACTCCAGAGACCACTTGTCAATTGCTGGGGAAGGGCTGGTGCATATTTTGAGACTGTATGAAGAGCAGCCAGATTCAAAAAAGCCCAAGGGTAAGTGAGATCAGATAACACTAGCTAGGCCCCTGAGCTATCCAGTTCCCCCTTCCCCCTTTTAGTACTCCAGCCCTCCTAAAAGAAGTATCATGAGCTTTATAAAAAGAAATGGGACTTAGTCGTTGCCTAAGCAAAGTCTATGATTCTCTGGGCAAAGAGCTCCAGGAAGAGTATCTAATACAGAAATTTCACGGATTTGAAGCTGAAGATCTGTCCAGAAAATTCACAAGCAACCTTCAGTGCCCCTAAAAATCCCCCATTAGAAGACATGCAGTGGCTCCTTAGTGGAAATTCCACCATAGATGGGGTGAGGGTTCATGAAGCCCTACCCCTAGGAGAGAAGCTATTAGCAGTTGTTGGCTGCTGGGGGAGGGTTAGACAGTTTCCTTCCTGGATATGGCCCCTGGTAAGTGGTCCATGCTCCAGTGGAGGTCCTACACTCACACACACATGGGCAACACTAACTGAACCCAGTGAGTTATAAAGAAAAGAGTATAAGCAGTTGAGAGGGAGACATGATGGGAGGGGTCTTGGAGGACTTGAAGAGCAGAGTCCACATGATAAAGGTACACTGTATACATGTATGAAATTCTCAAAGAATAAATAAAAATAGTTTTGAAATCCATTAACATTTCTCCCAGAGAGATTTTTGGCTGGGAATGAACTGTATTCAGTGAGGACTTGAAAGGAGGCTGTGTTTGTGAGAAATCCTCCTTAGCAGATGTGTCACACTAAATGCAAAGGAACAGCTAACTAGTTAGCCACTTGAGAAAAAAAATTGTAAAATGATGTAAAGAAAGGGTTTGAGCCCCCCAAGGGCCCAGTGTGCCTCTTTGGTCTTGATAACATCTCCTTTCTCACCAGTCAATGTGCCTTTTAGTAGAAAATCAAATTCCAAGTCAGTAATTCCATCTTTGTAAAAAGAACTACATATTCATTTTTTTCATAGACTTGGCTAATAATATTAGTCTTGAAAGAATAATACTAAAAACTCATGAAAAGTAATGGTTTCAAAGATTCCAAATCTCTCTAGAAGCAGAGGCAAGATGATCCAAAGTAAAACAATAAAAGATTTTCAATTGTTGTTCCCTTTCCTTCATTTATGCATTTACTATCACAAATATGTGCCAATAGATATACAATGTTACCTTAAAGTTTGAATGTTATGAAATACTGTATTTTAAAAAAATTAAGTACAATACCACCTCATTTATCTTCAGAGAATATATTACAAAGCCCCCATTATATATGCACCTATTATTTTTTATACTTGATACCCATGAAAGAAATTATGAAACATTATGAAGCATAATGAAAGAAATTAACAATAACTAATGATACAATTATAATAACATACTTCAATGAAAGTAATTGGAAACTTATAAATCAATTACTTCTGGAAATTTCCAGTCAATAC